CATTTTAAATCTGATTTCTTTTATTTAAATCAAATTTTTTCTAGAGCTTGAATTTTTAATGAAATTCTTTTCCAAAATTCAATTATTTTTATAAATATTAAAATTCTTCTCAAGAATTCAATTATTGGCAAAAATTTTAATTAAATTCTTGGCAAAATTTCAATTATTTAAACAAAATTTAATAAAATACTTTGCACGAATTCAATTATTTTTTAGAAATTTTAATGAATATCTCGTCAAGAATTCAATTATTTTTATAAATAGCAAAATTTTTCGCCAAAAATTCAATTATTTTCAAAAATTTAAATAAAATTCTTTGCAACATTTCAATTATTTTTAAAAGTTTTTCGCAATTCAATGTTTTTAAACATTTACTATTTTCATAAAATTTATCAACAGTTTTAATTATAGAAAAAACTTGTTTTGATACAATTATTTTCATAAATAATAAAATTTCATTTACGAACTCAATCATTTTCATTTCAGAATTTCAAATACTTTTAATACAATTTTAAATAAATTCCTTGAAAAATGCAATTATTATTAAAAATTTTATTAAAACTTGAGGAAAGAATTCAATTTTAAGAAACATTCGATTATTCAATAAAACAATAAAATTCGTTGCAATAATTCAAATATTTACATAAATTAAATAACATTTAATTCGTCGCAGAAAATCAATTATTTTCAAAAAAAAAATCGATTTCGATTACATCAAATTCTTACTATTTAATACGACTGAGTGATAGAATAAATCCATTATTCTTATTTTCAAAAAATTTTAAGTAATTTTGCAAAAGAATTCAATTACAGCTTGATAAACAACAAATTCGCGCATAAATTCTTCCCATAAAATCAATTATTCTAAGGAATTTTAATAAAATTCTTTTCCAAAATTCAATTATTTTGATAGATATCAATATTCATCACAAGAATTCAATTCTTTTGAAAAGTAATAAAATACTTTGCAAAAAATTAAATTATTTTCAAATTTTTTTAGAAATTCTCGTCAAGAATTAAATTATCTTTATAAATAGATAGGGAAATTCTTCTCAAGAATTAAATAATTATTGTCAAAAATTTTTTTAAAATTCTTTCTCAAGAAGTCAATTATTTTCAAAAATTTTAATAAAATTCTTCTCATGAATTCAATTGTTTTAAAAAATTATTATTTAAATTCTTCTCAGGAATTCAATTATTTTTAAAAAAAAATCTGAAAAAATTTAATAAAATTCTTCAAAAAGTTTTCAATTATTTTCAAAAATTGTTATAAAATTCTTTAATATAATAAATTTCATTAAAATTTTAATTAAATTCCTTAAAATAAATTAAATATTTTTAAAAGTTGTTAATACAATTTTTCGTAAAAATTAAATTTTAAGAAACATTCAATATTATTTATTTTTGTATTTAAATAATTGATTTCTCGTAGAATTAAATTATTATTTTTCGTACTTTTAACTAACAATTCTGTAGAATTAATTTTTTTTGAAACAGTTTAATTAAATAATAATTGATGTTATTGATTTAAAGTAGAATTTTAATTCAAAATTCTAGAAAATGTTAATTGAATTGAAATGATACAAATAATTTTGAAGAAATTACAGTAACAATATTCTTATAATAATGAAATAATGATTTTGTCAGTTGGTCATCTTTAATGATTATGAGTTGTTGAATTTAAAAAGATTTGAATTTGAAATTTTTGAACATTTTAATTCCAATGAAAAAAAAATGATTAAATATTTATTTTAAATAAAACTATTGGATTTTTTCGAATAATTTTACTTTTGAATAAATTTGTGAATAAATTTAATAAAACATTTTTTTTGAGTATCTAATGATTTTTAGAGTGAATCAGAATATTCTTTAGGGTCAGGGAAAAAATTAAAGTTGTGTTTGGAAATCAGAGAAAGGTCAGGGAAAAATAAATTAAAATTTTTGTGGCAACCCTGTATGAATAAATTATATTTTTATCTTTATTTAACCAATTTTTATAGTCCCCTAAAAGTCCCCTATTTTTTAATTTTCACTCCCCTATTTCCCCTAAAATACTTTTTAGGGGCACTATGAAGCCTGCACAATTTAAACAATTAAAAGTTGCATTTGAATGAGAATTACAATTTTTTGTCAATAAGAAATATTTCTTAAATAGGTAATTTTACTTAAATCGTTACTTATTGATAGAAAATTGTAATTTTTATTCAAATGCAGCTTTTAATTGTTTAAAATGTTAAAAATTTAATTCTTTATGCTTTATTATTGTCGACATTAACTTAAGAACAGTATTGGAATAAAAAAAGTTGAACAATTTGTTTCAAAGAGTTTAGGTTCAAAAGAAGTTTCTTAAAAAATTTCAATTCCAATATGTACAATATATGAAAGTGATTGAAAATCAGTGAAATTTTACTAGTTGATGCTTAGCCAGAAGTAGATTATTAATTAAGTGAAAATTCTATACTGTTTCAGATTTTCGAGTTAGGGAATTGATGAAATTTTATTCAATCATCAACGGAATTTTAGTGATTAATTAGCGGATTAACGCTATTTAGGGAATTAGTGTGGTATACTTAGAGCTTTGGGAATTAGTGAAATTTCGCTTGTTTAGATTTAGGGAGTAGTAGATAAATTCACTTTTAAATTATCTCATGATAATTTAATTTTTTGGTGGTTAATTTTCAACCAGGACTTAGTACTTTTTTTTACTATGAATTAGTTATTTTTTTTACTTAAGTAAAAAACTTATAGATTTTTACTTATAAATATTTTTTACTTAGAGTCACTTTCTTTTCTTACAGTTATTTCTCATTTTTCACTAATTGTTAAATATCTTTTTACAATATTTTATTTTTTTTCATTTATTTTTTAACCAAGTAATCTGTAAGATTTTAAGGAATTTTATTCTTTTCAAAGAATATTTGTCCCTAAAGTTAGCGTTGATCACTTAGCGTCGAAAACCATTTTTTTTAGAGATGAAAATAGCACTAATTTTACTTCTTTTATTTCGACTTAGAAAGGTAAAAAATTTACAATTCTTTTTTAACCTGAAACCTTAAAAAAAATAGTTTCATTCTCTTTTGCATCGTTAAAAAAATACTTTTTGACGCTCAGCTTTAATGCCAAGTTCAGGGACCTAATAATAATATACACAGAGTTAGACAGTCAAAGAATGGAAAATTAATTAACTTTTTCTTTATTTTCCAAATTTAAATTACTATCGTATTTTTTTCTGTCAATCATTGTTTATAACGAAACGCATAAATTCAAGTGAAAAAAAATTACGTCCGCGTAAAAATTTATAAATCTCACACTTTTATTTTTTTGCGAATATTAGTTTTATTAAAACTTCCGAGCTTCGCCATTAACCTTCACCCAGTTTGAAAATTTTCCCAGGTATTTACACTCTCTACGTTTTATACAGACACAGACACACACACACACAAACATAATTGAATGAAAAAAATAACAAAATTTTACTGTTTAAAAAAGTTGTTCATTCATTCACGGAATGAAAATTAAATTAATTAATTATTTAAACTCGCATTTATAAATATCAGATTTAATTGAGTGAAATAGTATTTAATATAATGTAAAATTACTATTATGATTCACGTCGGTGAAGTTCATAACGTTTATGACAATTAAAGATTAAAAGAATAAAATATTTTTTTATACAAAAGTAATAAAATATTTTGTTTGTGAATTTTTTTTTCAAATTTTTGATGGAAAAAATTATAATTAATATTATAACTTGCATGTTTGTATTAAAATGATATCTTTGTAATTGCAGATAATTGTAAAATTATCTACAACTTGAAAGTAAATGATAAAACAATTAATGAGGAGGATGAGGAGTGATTGCTTATTTATAAATATTTTTTTTATCTTTTTATTTTATATTGACGTACGCTAGGTCGGGATTGGTTGTTATCATCTGTCTGATAGATCCAATTAGTTCTGTCGTTAAATAATTATTGAATTCAAGTCAGTTATTGCACTCAGTATTTTGATAAATTGTTTTATCTCGAAAAATGATTTTCTATTATTATTTTTATTTATTAGGTGTTAAATAAGTTTTTTTTATTTTTCATCTATTTATTCAAGAATAGTAGTAATTATTTTTTAATAAAACGCTTAAATACGTTTTTATGTCTTTTATTATTAAATAATTACCGGACTTAAAAGATAAGTGCTAAAAATAACATGAATTTGAAGCTTAAATAAAATAAATCGTCACATAATAATTTCGTTTTTAGAAACGTTGCGAACTTTAGCCGCATTAATAATTGAAACCCGTTCTAATAAGAAGCAAATAAATAATAAAAATAAGAAGAAGCAAAAAAATAATAATGATAATATTAATAATAATAATAATAATAATAATAATAGTAAAAAAATGATTACATTGAAAGCGAAAATTGTATAACATATCAAAAATCATGTGATATAAATTGAAAGGAAAACGTGTTAAAAGCGAAATAATTGTTTATTTACAATATTGTCAATTTTCGCTGTACTTTTTCGGTGTTTCTCTCTTCTGCATACAGTCTCGATTTCACAGTGAAATTGAATTTGAAGATTTTCATTTTTTTCAAACCAATATATGGGCATTTTACTCTCGTTGAAAACATATGTGCACCGAATCCATAAATATTGTTACTGTGAGCACAGGGGCAAATTTTGCCTTCCATTCGACTGAAATTTATCGTCCCTGGAAAATATATTCCTTTTTTAAACTTTTTAATCAAATTAGAAGTTATTCTTTGCTATTATTATCATTATTTTTTCCTTTTTTTAGACTTGTATATAATTATTCACAGTTTTTCTATTGTAAGAATATCAAATTAAGACAAAAAACATATCGCGCAATAATTTTAATATTTCAATAATATTTTAATATAAATATTTTCCTTTTCTTTTGAAAAATGTTTAAATTTTTCAAAATTTAAAAAAAATATTTTTTAATATTTAATATTTATCTTATTTTCTTTTTGTTTCAGGTGTGATGGGTTCCTGTAGAGATGCCATTAACTATGAGTTGAGGCTTGAAAATTAATTGTGAGTATTGATCTTTATTATGACTATATGTATGTATACAGTATAACTAATAGAGTTGAATTGTCAAAGTAAAATTTCCAATACTATTTTTTCATTAAATTTGTATATATATTGAATATGTCTTTTAAAAAAAAGGTTCCAATAAAATTTAGATAATTATTTTTTGTAGAAAGAACTGTTATTTTCAATATTTGAAAAGTGATTAGAGAATGTGTTATCTGCACGCTTTTCTCGATAAAAGAATATATCGATTGAATATTAGCTTTGTCGAATAATAGAATTTGAAAAAGTCGTAGTTTTATACAACTAAATTGACAAAAGAATGTGTTGGAAACATATAACTTTGATAATCAACTGAAAAATATGTTTAATTGAAATATTCAAAACTTTCTTAATGTTCAAATGATTAGAATATTTTTTCGCTATTTAAATATGCATTTAAACCGGTTTTGTTGATTCAAATAAAAATTTGAACGATAATAATTAATAAAAAAAAATTAATAATTAAAATTTATTTCGTTGCTGAAAGGAAAATTTTTATTTAAATTTTAATAAATCTTACTATCTAGTGTAAAAAATAAATCTTACTTTCAGCGCACTTTTAACTAAAATCGTTTACATCAGTACCATTTTTGACTGAATTTTAGACTTGAGAGTATAATTTTAAGTCCTAAATAATAGTTATGACTTAACCCATAGTTTTATACTCAAAATTAGGATAATTTTCAAGCAGTTTGGTTTTAAGATGTTCCAGATTTTGTTTTTTGGAAGAAGTTGTTCCATTTAACAAACTTAGTGCTGTAAATTCAGAATATTGTTCAGTTAAGGACAATTTGGTCCGCACAGTACAAAAATTTTTTTGATTCATAAATAAAATATTTATTTGAATTCTAAAAAAAAATGTTTTAATGTCAAAAGAATATAATTTGAGTGATCGACAAGTTTTGAACGTTCAAATGAAAGAAATATTTTTTATTAAAAATATTTTTATAAATTACTAATTGCAATAAAAGTTGGAACTTAAATACATTTAGAAACTTTATATATAATTAAGTTTTTCTTATTGTTAAATAAAATTTTTGTAATAAAAATTTATTTTAAAGAAGAAGTAAATTAATTTTGTTTATTTGAACGTTCAGAACTGTAGGGTCATTAATTTGAAGAAATTCGGAAGAATTTATAAGTTTGATAAAATATTTCATTTCATTTAAGGATATATTTTTCTGTTAAAATAAAATCATGATTTTTTTAAATGTAAATGGGATTTTTTTTTATTTAAATCAAACTTTCTCTGGAGCTTGATTTTTTAGTAATGACAGGCCTCGGATATTATGATTTTTTCGACTTTTATCGACTTATATTCAAAAATTGCGACTTTTTCGACTTTTCTTTCAAATTTTGCGACAAAATACCATATTTTTATAGTATAAAATGCTGCAACTTTTTCGATTTTTACGCGCAGTATAAAAAATAGCTGTAGATAAATCTTTCGAAAATTATTTTTGAAAATTTTTTCTAATTCAATTTTTGAAATATACAATTAAAAAGATTTTGAATAATTTAAATTTAGTAAAATTAATTAAAAATAAATCCTTTTTTCAAGTATTTTATTATAATTTTTGAAAATTAACTATTATAGAATTTTTATTCAAAATTTTGGAAATAATATTGAATTTTTTAAAATTTTAATGAATAATCTTCAAGTGTAAATTCGATAAAAAATGAAAATATTAAAATAGTTTTAAAAAAAAGTAATTCTTTGACAAAGTAATTTAAAATTTTTTTAAATTTACTATTTTAGAATTTTTGAGAAATTATTTATAATTAAAATTCATCAAAAATTTGATTATTTTTAAAATATTTTAAAAAACTCAATTATTTATTTGCTTAATAAATTTTTTTGCAAAATTTAATTACTTTAGGGAATTTTATTAAAATTCGTTGCAAAATTCAATTATTTCCATGAATTTTAATAAAATCTATGTCTAAATTCAATTTTTAGAAATTTTTAAAAAATTTATTGAAAAATTCAATTATTTTCAAGAATTTTAATAAAACTCTTTACAAAATTCAATTTTTTTTCTGGAATTTTATTAAAATTCTAATTTATCTATAATTTTAATAAAACTCTTTGGAAAATTCAATTATTTTCAGAAATTTTATTAAAATTCGTTGCAAAATTGAATTATTTTCATGAATTTCAATAAAATTTTTGTCTAAATCCAATTTTCAGGAATTTATTTTAAATTTATTGAAAAATTCAATTATTATCAGGAATTTTAATAAAAATTTTTGTCTAAATTCAATTTTCAGGATTTTTTTTAAAATTTATTGAAAAATTCAATTATTTTCATGAATTTTAATAGAACTCTTTGTAACATTCAATGTTTTTTGGAATTTTATTAAAATTCTAATTTATTTATAATTTTAATAAAACTCTTTGGAAAATTCAATTATTTTTAGAAATTTTATTAAAATTCGTTGCAAAATTGAATTATTTTCATGAATTTCAATAAAATTTTTGTCTAAATCCAATTTTCAGGAATTTATTTTAAATTTATTGAAAAATTCAATTATTTTCAGGAATTTTAATAAAAAATTTTGTCTAAATTCAATTTTCAGGATTTTTTAAAAATTTATTGAAAAATTCAATTATTTTCATGAATTTTAATAGAACTCTTTGCAAAATTCACTTTTTTTTGGAATTTTATTAAAATTCTAATTCATCTATAATTTTTATAAAACTCTTTGCAAAATTCAATTATTTCCAGAAATTTTATTAAAACTTTTGTCAAATTTAATTATTTTAAGGAATTCAATTAAAATTCATTGCAAATTTTAATTATTTTTCAAAGATTTTTAGTTAAAAATTGTAGAAAATAATTGAATTCTTGTAAGGGTTATAGTTTTAATTTTTAAAAATTATTAAATTTCAGAATTTGCAATTTTTGAAATTTTATTTCCTGGTGAAAAAATAAATAAGAAATATTTAAATATTTTATTTAGCAAAATTATACAAGTTTTGATTAATTGAATTTAGAAATCAGTGAAGAATCAGGGAAATAGAAAATAAAATATTTGTGACAATACTAAATTAAATAATCGACTTTTTCGACCTTTTTTCTATTTTTAATCGACTAAAGCGACTTTTTTTGTTCGTTAAAGTCGATCCGAGGCCTGTAATGATTTTAAGAATTTAAATTTAAAATAGAAGCAACAAATAGCTACTTTTATTTTTCTTAAGAAACTATTTAACCGAACATGTTGAAAAAATAATTGACTACCTTCTATTTAATTAAGTCTTTATATTTAATAAAATATATTTGTTTTCTTGTTAGTTTCTTATTTCTTGAATTTAAAACTTCAAACAATAGTAAAAGGATAAAGAATTTAATTTCCAACAATTTAAACATTTAAAAGTTGCATTTGAATCAAAATTACCATTTTTTGTCAATAACAAATATATTTGTTAAATATTAGATTCTGTTACTTAAATCGTTTCATATTGATGGAAAATTGTAATTTTTATTCAAATGCAACTTTTTTTCATTTATTTTGGATTTTTTGACTTTGGACATTTTAATTTTGGATTTTTTTTTTACTTTGAACTCTTTTTCTTGGATTTTTCGGTCTAGATTTTTCGGAATGGATTTTTTGTCCTGTAATCATAAATCATATTTTTAAGTTATTCTAAATAAAGTTTGTTTAATCTACATAAATGTTAACTTGATTCAAATAAACATTTGGTTCAGTTTAATAAATTTTACCTCGCGGAAGAAGAATTTTGTCATCTTTTGATTATCTATATATATAATTATATAGCAAAGCATTTTGTTAGGTTGAGATTTAAACAAAATTTGCGGAAGAAGAATTTTGTCATCTTTTGATTATCTATATATATAATTATATAGCAAAGCATTTTGTTCGGTTGAGATTTAAACAAAATTTGTTTGTTTCAAATAAATGTTTTTCAGAGTGTAAAAACGAATTTTATTTAATTTAAGCAAACGTTTGGTTGTTATCTCACTTAATTTTTTAAAATTTTACGTTAGTTTGAAACAAAAAAATATTTAATTTCCAAAATTAAGTGGATGCTAATTACAACTCTCTAAATTTGATTTCAGGTCACAGTTTTTCTAAGGATGTCAAATTGAGACAGAAAACGAATCACTTTTGATTCGTTTTCTGTCTCAATTTTTGATATCCTTAGAAAAAGTGTGATAGTCACACAGAAAAAATAAAGTCTGAAATCGTTTACATCTTAAAACCAAATTATGTTTGAAGAGTAGCCTATTTTTATAAGCTTAAAACTGAATTAAGTCTATGTTAGAACTTAAAATAATACTCTCAAGGCTAAAATTCAGGTAAAAATGTTTCTAATGTAAACAGTTTTAGTCAAAAGTGAACTGAAAGTAAGATTTATTTTTTATAGTGTAAATATCGTGTTTCTTGTTTTAAAGGTCTAAACTTTTGGGTATATTTTTAAATTTTAAGTGAATTATTGTACAAAAAAGTGATTTTCTTTCCTCGCTAATCAGCATTATCATTATCATGTATTAATCCATCTAGCGAAGGTTCATCGTCCCATTTTCCCAATATAATTCTCTCATTCCGTGTGACATTAGCATCTCTCACCTCATGAAACATGAAATCGCGCGCGCTTCTCGCAACCGGTAATAATGGAATAACCAAATTAACCAAATACGGTTTCGGAAAACGGCTTCTTAAATAATTCAAACTTCTGGTTGTTTGGTAACCAGCCGAGAGATATAGAGAAGGTATTCATGTTGCCTCGTCTACTATACAGTATATGTATATCTATCTCTCCACTGTGGCATTGCGCCGGAGGCCCTGTTACAATTTTACCTATACATCCGTCGTATTCGTGCCAGTTATAGAGAGAGAGAGGGATGGTTTTGCTCTGCTGGCTCCGTATTGATTGCTTTTCCTCCTCCACCACCTACAACTTTGCTCTTTCTCGTTCTGTGTTTTCTCTCTCA